AATTCACTAATTGTAATTTTTTTTTTATATATATATATATATATATATATATATAAATAAAAAATTGATGTTCATGAAATATTACATTAATAGTTATTTTTTACAATTAATTTTGTGAATATTTTTAGTGTTTTTCATAACATTAATATATAATAATATCTAATTACAAATACTTTATTAATAATACTGTTTAAGAAATTATTACATTAAGTAATTAAGATAATTTATTTCTTATTTTTAAATTTTTTAAGAACTAAAAAAGTGACTGGTGTTTCCACAACTCGCCACCAGTCTCAAAAGTGAGGTTTTGTCAGATTTAGCCCATGTAGCGAAGTAAACATTACTTTGTACAGTTTTTCCTTGCATACTGCATACTGGTTTCATATACTATTTTAGTATTCCATATAGACACTGTAAATTATTTAGGCAGTTCATTCTGAATATATCCAGAGGCTTGATTAACTCTGATTGGTCTGTTTTTCTGTCCGTCGAGGCGCTGAAGGAGAGCTTCGTCAAAGCGATTGGCACAGGGCTGGGCTTCGATCTGCAGAGGGTGGAGTTTCACATCTCGCCCAATCAGATGCGAGAAGGGCAAGTGTACCGGCAGACACAGATGTACCTGGACAGTGAAGTAGAGGACTGGACATTTGAGGTGTGTCTTATATACCAGCATTACTAACTATTCATTCAGCACACAGGTTCATCCTCTCAGCCCATGAGACAGCCGGATGTGTGTGTGTGTGTGTGTGTGTGTGTGTGTGTTTCTCATGGTCTCTGTGTCTGTCAGAGCGTGTGAACGTGACACAGATCACAGACGCTTCTCACTTCCTAGATAGAGCTCACATTCTTCATTCCTCTGGACTTTTCATCTCGCAACTGAGGAAAAAAAAAGTTATTCAGCATATTCAGTAGCAGAAACCAAAAAACTGGGAAAAAACGTCCGAATTGTGACGGAACGGCTAGAAAGAAAGTTTGAAATCTGCATTTGTATCTGAAAAAAAATGTCAGAACTGTGATTAAAAAAATTGCAATTACCTTTTTTATTCATTGGCGGAAACAGACTTCCATTATATGTATAGGCATATATAAAAAAAAACAAAAACATTTTATATATATATTTAAATGGAACATTTTTATAATTATCTGTCTATGTCTATATTTATCTATCTCTCTCACTCTATATATATATATATACAGTGTTGTGAAAAAGTTTTGGCCCCCTTCCTGATTTCTTATTTTTTTGCATGTTTGTCACACTTTAATGTTTCAGATCATCAAACAAATTTAAATATTAGTCAAAGATAACACAAGTGAACACAACATGCAGTTTTTAAATGAAGGTTTTTATTATTAAGGGAAAACAAAATCCAAAACTACATGGCCCTGTGTGAAAAAGTGTTTGCCCCCTAAACTATGAATGAGAGAGAGAGAGAGTATTTTTATAGTATTATTATAATTAAATATGAAAACATAACTCATAATTGACTTTTTTTCTGTTTTTCAGGAGAGCTTATTGGACAAAGATCATCACGTCGCTGTGGCGCTGGGAAAACCAGATATCAGCACATCTGAAGTGAGTTTAACACTTTTCACGCGATTTTAGAGGACAAGACAGTTCATGACATCATACTACTTTGTATTATAGGAGGACGGTGGGACTGTTTGTGAAGCTCCGCCCCTTTCGTTCACACTGTTGAGTTTCAGTTATCTTATGTCTAAAGCCACGCCCCTTCTAGAGGAAGACCCCGCCTACTGGGAGAGATTTCAGAGCAAAAAGGAAGCACCTGTTAGATAAAACAGCAGTGAATAAATTGCATGTTTATATGGATATTGGGGTCATTTTTTTTTTACTCTGCATCTTTAAAAAAAATGACTGTTTGAAGATACTTCAACTTTATTACTTATAACATCATTATTTCCACAGTGACAATGGATGTTCATAAAAGTCAACTTCAAGTTTTTTATCTTTTAACCATTTTTTTCAGTCATCGATATCAGCAAACTGATTTGTTTAGGAAGGCACACACCAGCTATTGATGATGTTTGTGCAGCGGTTTTCCCTCCAAAATGATGTCACTTCCTGGAGGATGATGTCATCAAGGAACTGGCTTCAGTTAGTTAATGGGATATAAACCGTGAGTTTTATTATCCAGTATAACACATCTGATGGGAACATGAAAATGTACTGCATAGGAATGACCCGTTTATGTAAGAGATTAGTTTATTTTCCCAACCTATACCTCCTAAAGTCTCTCTCTCTCGTTCTCTCCATCTTCCACTGTCTATTTTTATCAGCAGACATTCAGCAGGCCATAAGCCCGGTGTGTTGGGAAGGTCCTGCTTTTAACAAATCGCTGCTGTTCGGATGCAGGTATGCGTTTCCGCTCTTGTGCCCTTATTTTATTTGCGCAGTAAAGTCCCGCCCCTTGCGCTGATTGACAGGAGCTGCAGCCACACAGCTTGTGAGTTACTGAGCCTGTCGTCTAGAGGTTAAAAGAGCAAAGTCTTACAGCAAAGCAGAACGGTCGAGGATGAACTCATCGGAAACACAGATGGGATCCCATTCAGATTAAACTCTGTACCCACATGTAATTACATTTTTTCTAAAGTAGGAAAATAGAGACTAAGCAGATTGTTGAGTGATGTACATTTCAAATTGAAATTTTAATATAAATGAGTTTTCATGATGCAATTTAATAATGCACCATCCAATTAAAGTCTTGTTTTGGTTGCGCATGATTTGCATTTTCTTAAAGATGTCTATAAACCAGACAGGAAAAAGGTTTAATATGATATAAAATGATGCAAAATGAAGCATATTGGTCATTTTTAATGTTCAAAAATGTTCAATATCTTATTTAACACTGTATTACTAATAATTATATTTTTCAACGATTTTTTATATATTTTTTATTTTCTTTTTTTTTTTTTAAGTAGAAATACCCGTGTTTTTGGCTTGACGTGACGCATATTGTCAATGTTTAATTGTCGACAGATTGTTACGTTAATAGTAATTTTTAGAATTAATTTTTATTATCAATAATTATATTTTTAGAAACATGTTTATTTTACCTTTTTTAGAAATAGAAATACCTGTTGTTGTTTTTGTTTTGACTTGACGTGAAGCATATTGACAATGTTTAATGTTCAACAAATTATTACATTTAATAGTAATTTTTAGGATTTCTTTATTATTAATAATAATTATATTTTTTTAAAGAAAAAATGTTTACCATTTTTTAGCTCGATATGAAGCATATCCTGATGTTTAATAAATTATTACATCAATTACTAGTCATTTTTAGGATTTCTAATTATAAATAAATGAGGAAGTAGCATAAACTGGTATTTGAATTGAATTTCTGTGTTTTTTGCCTAAAGTATATTGGTGATGTTTAATGTTCGATAAATGATTACATCGATTAGATCAGATTTTGATGCCAGAACTATCCATTTAATAATAAAATGCAGCCTGAAATACTGCACAAATACAGGGCTTTATATTCTCCTGAAATCTAGAGCATCAGCCAAACGCTTCCTAAATCACACGCTCATAAAAACGGGAGAGCGCGCGAGAGCTGCATTAAAGAGAACAGCTCTCCTCCTCTGAGAGTATTTATGAAGGTAAAATGATGTCAAAAAGATTTGCATACGCAGGGTAAGAGTTGTGGAAGTGTACATAAGACTGTAAGTGTAAATTAAATTTGCATGCGCAAGAGAAGCTTTGTAAAGGTGTAAATCGCGTTTCAAGTGCAAGAAAAAAATATTTGCAGCATTTTACTGTTACTCGTAAGTGTAATTCATGTATTGTGAAACTGCAGCTTCATGCTAACGCAAAATAAATATGATCTGCATGCTTCTGACTTCCATTTTTCCGCGCTTACACTTTTGGCACGTTTTTTTCGCCAAAAGACGGTCAAAAGCACTGCAAGCCTGTGAACAGTGATTTGCAAGCGAAAACAACAGTTTAAAGAACTGCAAAACAGATTGACTGCATAGAACCAATCTGTATGTGTACAAAACTAACTGTTGCAAATGTCTAAATGACTTGTGCATGTGGGGCAAAAAGTTCCCGAAATAAACCGATATGTACAGCTCCGTCTTTCTTTTCTCTGCGCTTATAGCTTTGGCACGGCTTCTCTTGCGCATGCAAATTTAATTTACGCCTACAGTCTTATGTACACTTCCACAAATATTACCTTGCGTATGCAAATCTTTTTGACGTCATTCTACCTTCATAGTATTTCTGTTAAAGATTTATCATCGAGTCCGGAGTAAATCAGGATCGAGTGAGAGAGATGCACAAGTTTGTGTGTGTCTGTTTTCTGTCTGTTTGACGGAAAGTATTTCCAAGGTCAAAGGTTAAAACAACAGTATCGCCGTCCCATGAGAACGAAACTCTGAAGGGGTTTGTTCTCTTCAGAAGGTCACAAGACAAAAGAGCAACTACAGTCTGTGTGGTTTACTGGCTCGCTCAACAGTGAACGTGTTCTGAAACTACGCACGATTTCTGTTTGGTTTCGGTCATTGTGGACTCAGGTGCCCTGCCGTCACACACACAAGCTTCACTGTCCAAACTCTTCTCCCGGACGACTTCAGTCCATCCGCCAGTTTCCTGATTTACTGTGTTAATCACTATCACTGTGATTTTCTGCTACAGCCGTGATGAAGGCCCTGCGGGAGCCAAAATGGAGCTCAGACTCGCAGTGGCCACAGATGCCTTGCAGAAACACACAAACATGTGAAACTGCAAAACATTTACAGCACAGATGGTTCAGAAGAGAAGAGGGAATACTGATGGATGGACGGAGATTTGATTGTATATGAATGGTTGTGATTGGTTCATGCAATAAATCCTGCCTCGTGTTTGTGCGCGTTCGCGAATCAGTCTGAATGAACAATATCATGGTGTTAATGGGAAGACTAATTTAAAAAAAGAAAGTAAACAACTCACACACTTAGATAACCACTTGGTTACATCAAAATAAGATTTAAAATGTCATGAAAACAAGATCTGTGGGAGCATATGGGCGTAGAATATGCAGAGGATGTGGGGGTCATGCCCCCCCCACCCCCCACTTTTAATAAAATGTAAATTTGCCCCCCACACTTTTTTGGGCAAGTGTGTTCACATAGAAATTTCCAAGGGCCGGGGTGAATAAATCTATATTTAAAGGGTTAGTTCACCCCAAAATGAAAATTCTGTCATTAATTACTCACCCTCATGTCGTTACAAACCCGTAAGACCTTCGTTCATCTTCGGAACACAAATTAAGATATTTTTGCTGGAATCTGAGAGCTCTCTGATCCTGCATAGACAGCAACGCAACTGTAATGTTCCCAGGTCCAGAAACGTAGTAAGGACATCGGTAAAATAGTCCATGTGACATCAGAGCTCAACTTCAATTTTGCGAAGCTACGAGAATACTTTGTGTGCAAAGAAAACAAAAATAACAATTTATTTAACAATTCTTCTCCCCTGAGTTACGTCTACTGCCATTTTAGAGAGTACACAAGAACGGAATCGGCGTAATCAGCGTTGTTTACGGTTAGGGTAAAGCATGCATATGCGTTGTGATGCTCTCTAAAATGGCGGAAGACAGTAACTCGGGGTAGAAAATTTGTTGAATAAAGTAGTTATTTTTGTTTTCTTTGCACACAAAAAGTATTCTCGTAGCTTCGCAAAATTGAAGTTGAGCCCTGATGTCACATTGACTGTTTTACCGATGTCCTTACTACGTTTCTGGACCTGGGAACATTTCAGATGCGTTGCTGTCTATGCAGGGTCAGAGAGCTCTCAGATTCCAACAAAAATATCTTAATTTGTGTTGCGAAGATGAACGAAGGTCTTACGGGTTTGGAACAACAGGAGGGTGAGTAATTAATGACAGAATTTTCATTTTGGGGTGAACTAACCCTTTAAATGCAAAGATAGTCTTTGCATGACCTGATGTTTTATTTGTATCCAAAATACGACGTGACCATACGGAGAGCTAAGCCAAAGCCACTGGAAGGCAAGCCTGCAACCTTTAGCCAGAAAAGCATAACAGCTAATGCTGCGGCCATAGATATGTATTGGCGGCGGTATGCAAGGAAGGAGACCAGAGGCTATTTTATGATTGGCTGAGGTGCCTCACATGATCTAAGTTCACTGTAAGTAATACAGACCCTCTCATCTCATCTCCCTATAGTAAGACGATCTCTGGCTAAACATCATGCAGTGTATGTTTCATTCATACTCGAAGCCGGAGGGCGCTCTTGCAAAGAAAGTCCAAAACAGCCTCATAGAAGTAATAACTTGTGAGGTGCCAGGAAAGCCCTAATATGGACAAAGGCATCCAGCGATCACTGTAGCTATAAGCTGATTATAAAGCAGAAACGTTTTGACTGATGAAACGTGAAAACACACGATTGCGACAATATATGGTTTCTATGTGTAAATACTAACTTCATGAGATTCATACTTTGCTTTAATAAACAGAATATTGATTACATTGTTAATGTAAAAATATAAAATATAATTGGGTTTTTTTGATAGTGTAAGTACTGTTTATTTAACCAAGAAAATGTGACTGGGACATGAATTTACATTTGATTTAAAAAAAAATAATAAAAAAAAAAACTGAGGACTTTGCCTCATTTCAGAACACCACCACACAGGATAGAACGAATGAAGGAACAAATGATAGATAGAACAAACGATCAATATAGATAGATAGATAGACAGACAGACAGAACGACAGACAGACATTATGTTTCAGCAATCTGGAGTGTGTGTGCGAGCTGATTTTCTCACCCATCCTCCTCTATGACACACA